AAGTGTTCGCGCTCGAGACACAAGGTCTTAGGTCCCATTCCTCCGTACAGGATAGTGGATGCGCACTGCTGAAGAATCCTATACTAAGAGGAAACGGTCGTATAGCACTCCTAGGTCTTCAATGGTGATCTAGCTTAGATCAACTCGGGAATTCAACTGTGAAAATACTACACTCTCCACAAATCCCCATACTGCATATTTATATTTGATTGAAATGAGAGATAACTGCTGTACATTTCAATATTATACGAATCGTTCAATGTATAACATGAATTCAAACCCCGAAGAGATCATTACTATCCTAAAGATTGTAGATATAAATATTATATAGTGCATTAATTAGCAGTGTCAACCTTCAGGATTATTCTGACAGAGAACGACTGAAAATAGATAAACAGTTGACAAATGATCCTGTATATTGTGAGACTTCGAAATCATTAACACTCACTAACTTACAGTGAGTTAGATACTAAACTTAATAATCTACCCATTGAACTTTAATCAGTTCATGATACACATTAATCACCATTCAATGATATCAATAACATTTACAGCTGCACAGAATCCAAAGTTAATTATTTATGTGCACAAAAGACGTTCAATTCCAGTTCAATAACACCGTATGCCGTCAAACTACAGCTGTACCATTGGGAAATCCATTGAGTCCAGTTATGGTAAATACGGAACTTTTACAAGTGATTAACGAAACAACGGAATACTGCAGATATGCTTTTGATACGTGTATTGTCTGGAACAGTAAGCACCATGCGATCTACCTGTTAGAACTATTTAATAATGCTTATTCCAACATCTTACTACCGAACATGAAAAGAATGATATATTCCACTTTCTTGATATTGTCATAAAACTTAAGGAACATGGGACCATTCAAAGTTCCGTTTATCGAGAAAATACTTGGTATGGATAGTAAGGATATTCACCACCAACAAAATGGAAGAAGACTCGATGAACAAAGATAGATAGACTAGCAGTGGAATACAGGACGCGCGTTTCGTCAGCTGGATATACCTGCATCCAAGATTTGACGTCCACTCAGTAACTAAGTGAATAACTCGATGGCATTTGAAGCGAATGGTACTTGATTCGAGGTGTGGAGTGAACATCAACTATGAGATGCATGTACATTCCAGAAATATGATTTCTTGAAACGATGTATAGAATGATAATTAAAGTTTGAAGATATTTTAATTTTCTGGAGTTCTAGTGAGAAGCAGTGACTGGTGGAGTTCAGTCAGGTCTGTTGTGAGATATCAACCCACTGAAGACATTTGTGAATGGTTGCTCAATTTCGTGGATTGGTTGAAGTTACAAATTAGCACCGTCGGATGACGGCTCAGTGGTCTATAGATGAAGTGCTCACGCGCGAGAGTGATAGGTCTTGGGTTCGAATCTCGTGAGGCGGGATCGTGGATGCACACTGCCACTGAGAAGTCCCACAATAGGATAAAACGGCAGTCCAATGCTTCCAGGTTTTCCATGGTGATCAAGCTTCAATTGACCCATGATCTCAACTATATAATATTTTTAGATAATCAAAATTGCTTACTTATAAGTAGTTAAACGATAAAGTACTTCAATATCTAACCGGACATTATGAACTGCCAGATATTTGACTGGAAATACCATTATTTATTAAATATTTATGAATTATAATTTAGCTTCTCTGAAACAACTATATTCCGCTTGAAGTTTGAAGGCATTAAAACACTCAACAGAAAGTTGTTTCCCTAGAATAAATCTGTTTGATAGAATAGTTGATTAAGCCGATCTCCATCACCTAGGTTACGACTCACGTTAGTTCATGGAAACAGTCCCATGGTCCAGGAGGCACAAGGAGGACGTGTGAGTTGGATTTTGGCTCCCGCCCAAGCTGGATAGTTTATTTACAAAATTTTTACTGTCATTCTAGAAGATATCTGCAGCAGTTAATTTAAGTGGAGATGGTTATTACAAAATTACTTTACGTATCTATAGTCAGTTTTTTGTGAGTGATGGTCTTATCGCCATACTCATTCCTGTTCCCACTTGATGATATTCATCAGTCGATAGAGAACTACGTCGTTGTTCACTATAATTCACAAACTATGATAGATTGGTACTGTTAAGAATGTGACACTGATCAATATCTAAAGAAGAGTATTCAATCCGAATACCAGTGAATGCCTCTGTCTCGTATATACTATTTCGTATATTGTCTAATGTCCTATATTTTACCTAATCATACAATTTGACTAACAATCTTTACTTTAAATTGAGACCTAGGTCATCTTAATTTATAATATTCCATCTGACACACACCTCTATTATCAGTCTTGATATTGAATAAACGAACATAGAAGATGAACACCTTACTTCTCCCCCCAAATTCCCTGGTACGCCTGAGAGTGGGGAGAGTCCGCTCTTCCTCTCGAAATGCTCGCACCTACCCACGCATATATAGCCTCTGACAGAGAAGTCCTACTCACAACCTTCTCGTGGTATTATTGTTGTTTACGAAATTGAGAGGACGAAAAGCGGATGTTTGGCGCTTTAACCAGGTTGGTGGACACGGAAAGTCCATTCAGGGGGGTTGAAAAATCCTGATTCCAAATCAATGGTGCACATGGGCTAAATCCAGGATCCTGAGGGAACAAATGCAGTATGAATCAATCGTTGGTAACCGGCTACCATGGGACTTCATCTCCTCACGATGTTCCACTGCCTTGTGGACTAGACCTTCAGGTCAAAGGCTCGGGGTGTGGCCTCCTAAGAAAATCACCTGCTTCAGTTTCGGCACCCGGGCAGCATCACAGCCCTCAAGCAAATCAAATGAGATTTGTGTGGCGCATATATATCTGGTACCTTTTTGTACCAATATTTATGTGTTTAAATAAATAAATCAATAAACCCCACTTCTGAATTTCGGACATTCATGAATCCTCATGCCGACATCCCGACTCGCATCACAATAAAGTGGTAGTTCATACATAAACAAGCCAAAAGTAACAGGAAAGATGGTGAATAATTACTTAATTGTAGTAGTTTTGAAACTCACCACTTTCCCACTATTCCTTCTGTTATAGTGGTATTATTAGGGATACTAGATCCTCAGAAATCACTTGGTAAACATCTTATTTTTGTAATTTCATTTTGGGGATTTGAATTTCTTGTCTTTGTGTCGGAAAAACTTCCATTTTCACCTTCAGATTGTATTTCCCAATCGGAAGGATCTTAAGTGTCATCGGTTCATTGCATCTTTTAATATTCTATTATGTGACGTTTTCCAAGGACCATTTTATACTATATATAAGCTAGAATTTTGTTTGTTGTTATTCATGCCTCTAACTGCTTGTAGAATACACTTACTGTCTTCTGAACCTGGATTTCTCCTACTAGTTAGTGGGGCTGAGACACATCGGAATAGTTAGCTTATGTTATCATTGTGTCACTATATCTTCATCCCGTTCATCGAGTTAGGTGACCTCCTAATCTCTTCAAACATAACAAGTATCTACATCCATTAGCTTATTGACTATATAGTAGAAAACTTCTCACTTCTATTCAGTAGTATTTAGGACGATTGTGAAAATTTTGTATTATCAGAAGGGGGTTTTTGTGGAGATTTAGTATTTGTATAGTTGAAATCATGAGTCAATTGAAGCTAGACCACCATGGAAAACCTGGAAGCACTAGACGGCCGTTTCGTTCTATTATGGGACTCCTTAGTGGAAGTGCGCATCCACGACCTCCCCTCGCGTGATTCGAACCCAGAACCTAGAATTTGCACTGCTGAGGAGTCCCGCAATAGGACTAAACGACCGTCCAATGCTTCCAGGTTTTCCCTAGTGGTCTAGCTTCAATTGACTCACGCTTTCAACGATGAAAATTTTGTATGTTAAATATTTAGCCTGAAATATAAAGCACAGTTGTTAGTAAAAAGGCCTAATGTAAGAGATAATGTAATAAGGAAACTTTAATTTTTCACTGTTTTTCCATCTCTCTATGTTCTTTCACAAACTTTTTATTAAGAACTGACAGTGAAATGTAGGACAAGCTTTCCATTCTATTTGTGATCCGTCAACCAGAAGTAAATATACCTTCTTTTCAATGTTCACACTAGTACTTGAACCAAGTACTATCCTCTACAATTGTCGACAGTGTTATTGATCTGACGATCAAGTCTAAACGGCTACTGGTTCATTAATCTCAATTCATTTGTATTGTCTGTTTGAATCTTCTAGATGAACTCAATAACTAAGTGGATAATGCGTCAGATATTCAAAGTGGAAAGTAATTAGTCTTTAAAAGAAACAAATACTATTATCTTTATAGGCGAAGATGGATAGTGGTTAGGAGTGGAATTAAGGAAAATCGTTTCGTCCTATATGGGACTCGTCAGCTGGATGTACCTGAATCTCAGAGTTAACGTTCACTCTGTGACTCGAACCCAGTAGTGTTCACTTTAAACGCCATCTCGTTATCCACTCAGTTACTGAGTCATGTTAGCCACTTGCTTGTGCGATGGGGGGAAGTTTTAAATTCACTTGGTATTGTTTATTTGAATCTTCACATTGATGTTTAGGACTGCAATTCATCGCCAAGTGAATATAACTTCACCCCACTGCACAAGCAGGTGGCTATCAGCACTCAGTAGCTAAGTGGGGTTTGAAGTGAACAGTACTGAGTTCGAGCCCTAGAGTGAACATCAACTGTGAGATGCAGGTACATCCAGCTAACGAGTCCCAAATAGGACGAAACGCTTGTCCTTAATTCCACTTCTAGCCACTATCTATCTTTACCAACCATCTTTGCTTATAAAGCTTGTGACTTCAAGCAATATCTAGGCAGTCCTCACAGGATGTACCTACGCCAACGACTGATCAATTTCAGTCTTAAATAATAATGGAAAGATACCGCTAAACAACACCAAATGAATAAAACATTATAATCTTTTACTTTAAAACAATCATTAATGAATATCTATTTCAATCTGTTTATAGATGGTGAATACTGTGATGTTGGCAATACATTCTTACATTCAACATATTGTTGCAAGGATTCTTCTGGTAAACAAGCATGTTGTAAAGATTTCCGGTAAAGTATTGATTTATTAAAAAACTTTTTTCCTTTATGTTTCGATTCATTTAAAGAGTGAACTTTGATTTGATTCGTCCTATTATTGGACTCCTCAGCAGATGCGCATCTGCTGAGGAGTCCAATAATAGGACGAAACAGCCGTCCAGTGCTTCCACATTTTCCATGGTGGTCTAAATTCAATTGACTCATGATTTCAACTATGAAAATAATGAAATCTGCACAAAACCCCTACTAAATATGAATCTGTTAATTGAATTATGAAGACAATAAATGTTGCAGCCGCCCCTGCATCAATAGGCATCAACATATACAAAGGAAAAGGCAAGATCCACAAATACAACACGAAAAACATCAAAGCAGTCACACTTGATGGAGAAACTTTGAAAGAGGTGGAAACATGCACGTACCTGGGAAGCATCGTTGATAAACAAGGAGGATCGGATGCAGATGTAAAGGCAAGGATTGACAAAGCAAGGACAGCATTCCCACAATTGAATATTACATGGAACTCAAAACACCTGTCAACCAACTTCAACGTGAGAATCTTCAATACGAACGTCAACACAGTCTTACGGTACGCAGCTGAAACGTGGAGAACTACTACATCCACAATCAAGAAGGTACAAGTATTTACCAACAGTTGTCTACGCGAAATACTCAACATTCATTGGAGAGAACAAACCAGTTTCCAGATGAAGAAGAAATTATGAAAAGATGTTAAAAGTCGATGGGAAATACAATAATGAAATCACCAATGTGCATCATGAGGCAAGCCCTAACTTGGAATCCGGAAGGGAAGTGGAAAAGTGGAAAGCCAAAAGACACATTACGCGTAAGTAATAATTGAATTCATGATTTGAATATAGCTAGACCACCATGGAAAACTTAGAAGCACTGGACGGCTGTTTTAGCCTAGTACAGGACTTCTTAGCAATGTGCATCCATGATTCTACAACAAAAGGGACTCGAACACAGGACCTTCGGTATTGCGTGCAAATGCTTAACCTATAGACCACTGAGCCGGCATCCAATGGTCCCGTACTAGGAAGAAACGGCCGTTCAATGCTTCTAAGTTCTTCATGATGGTCTAGCTTTAATCAACTCATGAATTCAACGATTAAGTGACTTAAGTTAAATATCACAAATAACTACATAGTAACCCGTATCTTGTTAAGTTCAAAATAATCAACTGTTCTCAGAGTCCTTTCGTGAGAAGAAACGTTGGAACAGCTAGTAGCCAGATATAATTACCATTTGAGTCCAATCGTAATAGCGAATATATCCGAAACAACAATTCTTAGATTACATAAAATGTAAGACTTTGGATATCAGATATCATAAAGTGTTGGGGTTATTGTTAATTTTGAACTATCACAATCTCATTGCATTGACAGTTCCAACAAAGTAGATTTTTAAGGTATTTACTCAGTAATGGATTGAGAAAATAGCCAGACGGTATCACGAATTGATAGAAGTTAAAAATGTTAATCATTGGATTCCAAATCAAGTAGTCTAAGGATTAAGCGCTCACAAAGATACTCGAACGTTGTAAGTGGCGAGGGATAATACGGGTCTTTTTGTTGTCACGAGCGGCATCGCCAGTCAACTCAAGGACTTCGTATTAAACATTAAGCGCTACAAACAAAATTTTCGTTTCATTTAATTGTGTGAGTGCTATAATACTGCCCGGGTGCTCAAACTGAAGCAGGTGGTTTTCTTAGGGAGCCATACCCAGAGACTTTGACCTAACGGTCTGATCCACAAGGCAGTGGAGCATCGTAAGGAGATGATATCTTATGGTAGCCGGTGAACAACGATTGGTTCATACTCCATTTGTTCCCTCAGGATCCTGGATTTAGCCCATGTGCACCATTGATTTGGAATCAGGATTTTTCAACCTCTCTAGATGGACTTTCCTTGCCCACCAACCTGGTTAAAGCGCCAAACATCCGCTTTTCGTCCTCTCAATTTCGTAAACAACAATAATACCACGAGAAGGCAGTGAGTGCGACTTCTCTGACGGTGGCTATATACGCCTAGCTGTGTGAGAACATTTCGAGAAAGGGTGGGCCTCTCCCCACTCTCGGCCGTACCAGGACATTTAGTGGCCAACTTTTGTTCTATTAACTTTTACTTTATTAACTTATCTCATTTTCTTTTTTCACTTTATCATTATAGTTGGTGGCCACTTACCGTCACAATTTGTGCTGTCGTCTTGGTACTTATTATAATTTTCTTCTGTCTATGTTGTTGCGGTTGTTATGGTTGTTTATTTGATATTTTATGTTGTTGTTGTGGAGATTAGAAAAGAAATTGGTCAACAATTTTCGAATTCTTATCTTTTATAACACTTCGTTTAATTACCTGATTCTATGTTTGTATGTATTTATGTATGTATGTATGTATGTATGTATGTATGTATGTTGGTATGCATGTATGTATGTATGTAGGTAGGTAGGTAGGTAGGTAGATAACTACGTACGTAGGTACGTATGCATGTATGTATGTATTTATGTAAGCAGGTAGATAGGTAGGTAGGTAGTTGGGTAGTATGGATGTATGTATGTACGCAGGTAGGTACGAAGGTAGGCAGGTAGGTTGGTATGTATGTATGTATGTATGTATGTATGTATGTATGTATGTATTTATGTATGTAGGTAGGTAGGTAGGTGGGTGGGTTGGTATGTATGTATGTATGTATGTAGGTAGGTAGGTAGGTAGGTAGGTAGGTAGGTAGGTGGGTGGGTATTCATGTATGTATGTGTGTGTTTCATATAATCATTGATTTTTGAGATTTTTTTTATCAACAAATGAAATTTTATTATGATTTAATTGTTTGTGTTTATTTTAAGTTCTTATTTATTGTTATATTTGCTCAATGGATAGAGAAAAAATGTTTATGTTTTTATTTGTACAACTATTTAACTGAGTTTTTCTTTTCATATGAACTGTTATATACAGATGTAATTAAAAACAACTTTAGTGTTTTCTTTGTAGGGATTCTTAAGCATTTAGATCACTGTCTAGATCTCTAACCTACGGATCAGTTTTAGAATTATTGGATCTGAATATATACATTACTGTTACTCAGTTTTATATTCGTTGGTTTCAGTTTTCAAAAAAATAACCTACAGATTGTATTATTTTGTTGAAAAAGTTTAACTACTCGTAAGTAGTTTGACTTTTTATTTAGAATTAAGTAGGTATTGGGTACTTAAGAAGATGGTTGAATTTTGAAGTTTACATCAAAGAAATGGTTGCAGCTAGGCAACAACTTCTTACTGGATGCACACTGCTTTGAAGTCTCATACTGATACGAATTAGATGCCTAGCTATCCATTGGTTATCCAAATGAATTAATTCCCTTATAATGAATTTCATATAAATAGTTTGCTTTTTTATTTTATACTGAATTTAGGCGTACGTGTAGTTAGGAAACTGAAAACTAAACACATTATTAGCAAAGATGGATAGTGGTTGGCAGTGGAATCCAGTTTGATACGCGTTTCCCTCTATTTAGAACTCGTCAGGTGGATGTACCTGTATCTCAGAGTTGTTGTTCACTCTGGGACTCGAACACGCATTATTATTGGCAGTAAAATTCAGGAAAACATTGAACTGCCACTACAGTTTTAAGTCTATAATTACTGCATTAAAATAAATAAGGGATGAGTACGCTGTGCGAATACAACTTCAATTTTTTACACCTAGGAATTTAAAAGGTTTGATAAACTGAAAGGAATTACCTGTAAGGATGGCTCGTTGTTAAACTCTAGAAAGCCTCAAGAAGCCTCAGAAAGAGCCGAAGACATTCCATCCAATCACTGCTAGGGGAATATTATAGAATGTTGACGTGTAGCTTCCCTATTGGATAGATAAGAATGAACCCCCTATGTGCATATTGGTTGTCCGAAATGATGATTTACTCCCGGTCAAAAACTATAAATACATTAGATTTCTGTACTATATTTTGACACTGTTTGGGGAATAAAATTCCTACTTACTAGTCTTCTCTCTTCTCTCTTGCGACGTTTCGGGTTCGATCGTTCAAGTAGTCTAGTAGTACGCGGTATAGTAAGAATCAAAGCTCTAGATATAACATTACCAATGATAAAAAATGAATATTTAGAGTTCATATGTCACAAAATGAAAGGACTTTCTAGTTGAAAGCTTTTTAATATTGATAAAAGTAGTTTCATGGGTTGTGAGATAGAAAAAACGAACAAATGAAGAGGAAATTAAAGAAAGATGTTAGAAGTTAATCAGACATACATTAAAGGAATCACTAAATTGCATCACAAGGCAAGCCCCAACTTGGACTGCTGAAGGTAAACAGAAAAGTGAAAGACAAAATTATACACTGCGTCGGGAATTGGAAACAGATATCAAAAGGCTGGATGGGAAATGAAAATCATTGTTGAAGACAGAGTTGAATGAATAGTGCTGGTGAGCGACCTATGCTCCTTCACGAGGGGTAACACTCGTAAGTAAGTAGTTTCATGCGTGCATTTGTTACTGTACACCAGATTAAACCGATTACTTTTGTATATGGAAGCAACCAGGATTCCGTACAATCTTTTAATTAGTATATAATGATTCATAAGCTCAAATTAGTTGATATAATCTCATACGATGAAATATTTTCTTTCAATTAAGCCGTCGTTTTCATGATCGTACATCAGTCCATATGTTTTTTTATGATAATAAAATAATTATGGTCAGAATAGAGTTTGTGGAGATTGTAGTGATTTTATTAGAAGTTCCATACGAGGACGAAACGGTTGTTCAGTGCTTCTAGGTTTTCAATGGTGGTCAAGACTATATCGACTAATGAATTCAACTATTAAAACTAATACAATCTCCACAAACCCGATTCTGATCATAATCATCATGTCCTCATTAATGACTTGCTCCAAGATGATTTCTTGGAGTTCTGGTGAGAATCCATGACCAGTAGAGTTCGATTTGTGTTGGGTAGAGATAAGTATTTACATCAGACAATAGGTATTTGGTTGCACAGACATTAATGGATCGATTGAAGTTAGACATTAACACCACTGGATGCCGGATCAATGATCCTGAGGTTAAGTGTTCATGTGAGAGTCCGAAGATTCAGTTTTCGACACCCCTTGGTGTTGTATCGTGGATGCTCACTGTTGAGAAGTCCCATACTATGCTAAAACGGCTGTCCAGTGCTTCTAGGTTTTCAATGGTGGTCTGCCTTACACTGACTTATGAATCTAAATATTAAAATAAAACAATTAAGAATTCAAAAGTTGAATCTAAATTTTGTCAAAGAATCAATAAAAGCACCATTCGAAATCTGGGAACACTGAAGGAATGTTTCATATTAATCGGGAATGAAAGAGATACCCATGGATAGGATTAGATGATTTCGTGCTGTATCATGAATGAATTAACTTGAGACGTATAAACTACTGAATATGACCTCAATGATTTGAAAATAATGCCTGAGTGGTAGTCCTGTCAACACATACAAATATCAATAAACCTTAATCAAAATTATCAGTATACATTAACCAGGATAGAGTAGATAGATGATTCCTGGTTGACGTCTTATGCTCTACCAAATGTAACAAACGTAAAGAAGGCAATTAAAATCCACCGATATATTTAAACACAACAGGACAATATGAACTGTTAATAGTGTATGCTACTGATATTGATAGATATAAGTAGTATGTAACACTCATCGAAAGTGTAATGTCTAATAGTAATAGGTTAACATGATCGAAGAAAAGGGAGAATGAGAACAGTGAATGATTGGTGTATATGCAGGTTGATAGGTAGGTAGGTAGGTAGGTGGGTATGCATGTATATTTGTTGGCAGGTAATTTTGTAATTTTGTACTCAAATACACTCGGTTGTACCTATTTGTGTTCTCATTCACTACATTGTTACTACCATTTATCTTGATAATTTCATCTAGTCATAATGATATAATGAAGTCATTTGAACTGATCTACATATGTTTCAGATTCTACATATCAAAAGAATGTTCTATGACAAACTAAAATAATTTAAAGAATACACTTACTTACGCCTGTTATCCCTAATGAAGGAGCGTAAGCCCAAAATCAGCACCCTCAATCCAGCTCTTTTATCGAAAATCCTTTCCAGTACTTTCCAGTTTCTATTTATCTTTTTCATGTGTCCTTTCAATTCTCAACATAGTGTGTTCATTTGCCTTCCTAACTTCTATTTCCCTTCAGTATTTCAAGTTATCTCTTGTCTAGTAATACAGTTTGATGATTTTCATAATGTATTTATTCTCCACTTTCAACATCATTCTCTAACTCCCTCTTCATCTAAAAGCTGGTCTGTCTTCTCCTATAGTAGGTACTTGCTGATGCTATCCCATCAACGAACATTCAGTAGTAGTAGTAGTAGTAGTAGTAGTAGTAGTAGTAGTATTAGTAGTAGTAGTAGTAGTAGTAGTAGTAGTAGTAGTAGTAGTCGTCGTCGTCGTCGTCGTCGTCGTAGAAGTAGTTCTCTACGTTTCTGCTCCATGCATTTTTTAAGTTCCATTGAATATATATATCCTAATATATCTATATATGTTTAGATCATTCTATTAATATAGTATAAAGCTTATTATTTACATAATGAATAGTTTAGTTTATTTAACTCTCTATTTCTATGGTGTCTATTTAATGTTTTTACATGAAATTACGAAGTACTAGAGTGAAAATTTGGAACATTTTACAAAGTAGCCTAATTTTAAACAACAAACTATTATGGAAGACAACAAACCAAATCCCAGCGGGAGGAAGAAATGAAGAAGATGCACTGGAAGTGGATAGGATACATATTGAGGAAAGCACCCAATTGTGTCACAATACAAGCCCTTACTTGGAATCCTCAGGGTCAAAGAGGAAGAGGGAAACCAATGAACACATTACGCCGAGAAATCGAGACAGATCTGAGAAGAATGAACAGCAATTGGATAGACGTAGAAAGGAAGGCCCAGGACAGAGTAGGTTGGAGGATGCTGGTTGGCAGCCCATGTTCCATTATGAGTAACAGGCGTAAGTAAGTAAGTAAGTTGGAAATTAATAGTCTATGTTCTGAACAATAGCTGATCTGTGATATAAAACTATCTTGAATAGGTTTTGAGTAAGTAAGGATCTAAAAAAAAAAAGAAATAATTCTCAATTATCTTTTCAATTATATCAACTCAAATAGAAGCAGATATGAAAAGAATGAATGTTAACATGAAAGAACTGGAAAGGATTGTTTGGGACAGGGTTGGATGGAGAATACTGATGTGCGGTTTAAACGTCC